GAGTGATCATAGCCGTCACCTCCCCCGGGTAGACCTGCATGAGAGAGAAGCGCGTGGGGAGAGGATCTAGTAAGAGAGAGGAAAGGGGCAAGAGAGATCCACCCTGGAGCGCTTGGAGTGATCATAGCCGTCACCTCCCCCGGGTAGACCTGCAGGGAAGGGACGCACGGGGAAACACCGAAATAAGGGAGGACACGGAAAGCACAAGGGAGAGGATAGAGCGGAATGGGTGATAGAGCCTTTTCAGGTGAGAGAGCGAGCGAGGAATGGGTGATAGAGCCTTTTCAGGTGAGAGAGCGAGCGAGGAATGGGTGATAGAGCCTTTTCAGGTGAGAGAGCGAGCGAGGAATGGGTGATAGAGCCTTTTCAGGTGAGAGAGCGAGCGAGGAATGGGTGATAGAGCCTTTTCAGGTGAGAGAGCGAGCGAGGAATGGGTGATAGAGCCTTTTCAGGTGAGAGAGCGAGCGAGGAATGGGTGATAGAGCCTTTTCAGGTGAGAGAGCGAGCGAGGAATGGGTGATAGAGCCTTTTCAGGTGAGAGAGCGAGCGAGGAATGGGTGATAGAGCCTTTTCAGGTGAGAGAGCGAGCGAGGAATGGGTGATAGAGCCTTTTCAGGTGAGAGAGCGAGCGAGGAATGGGTGATAGAGCCTTTTCAGGTGAGAGAGCGAGCGAGGAATGGGTGATAGAGCCTTTTCAGGTGAGAGAGCGAGCGAGGAATGGGTGATAGAGCCTTTTCAGGTGAGAGAGCGAGCGAGGAATGGGTGATAGAGCCTTTTCAGGTGAGAGAGCGAGCGAGGAATGGGGCGGGCAGGCACGGTCGACCCTCGATCGCTTGGATCACTGAAAAGGTCCTAAACATAAACACTGAAAAGGTCCTGCACTGTAGAGCCTACAATCTAACTGTACACCCTAACCAAAGAACCTTAACTCTATCACTTCTCTGAGGATGTTTCGGCCTCTCTCATCGCTCGCCCACACCTTTTCATCTGTGGGTGGTTTGGTTCAGCTCCACTCTCAAACACGGAGTTCAAGTGTCGAACCCGCTCACGCAGATCCAGTCATATATGCAGATCAAATTTGATGTCTCTGATTGTCCTGCATGCCGCGTCTATGCCTCTCACCTTTCCGTCTGTGCAGATTGGTTTTCGCCAGCTCCACTCGCAGCACCGAGTTGTGATCCGCGTCGAATATGAGGCCCTGGGTGGGGAGGGAGGGAGGGAGGGGAGGGGCACAGTACACACATACACATGAAGGATCAATGAGGCAACGTCAGCAGCAGCAGCAGCAGCTCCACTCGCAGCACTGAGTTGTGATCCGCGTCGAATATGAGGCCCTGGGTGGGGAGGGAGGGAGGGAGGGGAGGGGCACAGTACACACATACACATGAAGGATCAATGAGGCAACGTCAGCAGCAGCAGCAGCAGCTCCACTCGCAGCACTGAGTTGTGATCCGCGTCGAATATGAGGCCCTGGGGGGGAGGGAGGGAGGGAGGGAGGGGAGGACAGTGCGCGTGCACCCAGATTTATGAAGAAAACATACGGGCAACAGCAGCAGCTCCACTCGCAGCACCGAGTTGTGATCCGCGTCGAATATGAGGCCCTTGGAGGATTACACGGGCGGGGTGAGTGAGTGCACACAGATACATGCAGGAGCAATGGGGCAGCTTCAGCAGCGAGAGCTCTACACCCTGCCCAACTGCAGCGCGTCTCTAGCAGCGAATGCCATGGCATGGCAGGAATACTAAAAATCGCAAACCCAAGTGGCTGGTCGCCTCGAAGGCGAGCGAGCTGGCAGGCCTCGTAGTAGCCCAACCATCGCTACCACCCATTCCACATTCCACCCTTCTCCCACCCCACCACATTCCACCCCTCTCTCCAACCTTCCCAACTCACCTGCAGCGCGTCTCTAGCAGCAAACGCCATGGCAGGAGTACTGAAGATGGCGAACTCTAACAGCTGGTCGCCCTTGAAGGTGAGCTGTCAGGCCTCGTAGCCCGGCCACTCTCCTTCTCCCATCTACTTCTCCCCTCCCACCGCATCCCACCCACCCCACGCGCTCCACTCCTCTCTCCTACCTGAAGTGCGTCTCTAGCAGCAAACGCCATGGCAGGGGTGCTGAAGATGGCGAACCCTAATGGCTGATCTCCCTTGAAGGTGAGCTGGCAGGCCTCGTAGCCCGGCCACCAGCGCAGCATGTTCTGCACCTCGCGCTCCTTGGCGTCTGGGGGAAAGCCGGTTACAAATATCGTGCGAATCTGCTCCGCGAAATGTTACAAAAGTTTCGCGAATGAGAGGGGGAGATGGGGGAGAGGGGGGAATGGGTGGGAGAGGAAGCGGGGTGAGCTGGCATGCCTCGTAGCCCGGCCACCAGCGCAGCATGTTCTGCACCTCGCGCTCCTTGGCGTCTGGGAGAAACCCTGTCACGAAGATCATGCGAATCTGGTTGGCGAAATGGGCGAAATGAGCAGAGTGGAAGGAAATGGAAACGACGGCGCAAGCTTCTAAACGACAGATAGACAAGGAGGGTGTTCGAATTTTGAGTAGATCCAGAAATCGACGTATCACACAAGGAGGGTGTTCGAACCGTTTCAGAACGGCGTACTACGATTAACCGCGCGAGAGACGGATCCGTCAGATTGTGGATGAATCCGTCAAGGGTGTACGAGATGCGTTAAGGGGGACTGATGCGGATTGTGCCGTCTGACGTCAGACTTGACGGGGGACGATTCTGGGAAATCTCGAGGCAGCGAGTTAGCGCTGCGACGATGGTAGATCGCGAAAACAAGTGCGACGACAAAATTTCGGGCAGGCGAAAGTGCGACGACAGGAGATCTCACCTCCTCGCCCTCGGAAGTCATGGGCCATTGGCCGGTGAAGAGCGGATTCGCCATTGACGAGGCACCGACGGTATTTTGAAACGGTAATTCCGAGTACCGGGGTATTATGGACGGAAGCTGGGAGCCGGGAAGCGCGGAAAGGAGGAAGACGTAGGGAAGAAGCGGCGAAACCTAAGTAAGACGAGACGCGCTGATGACACACCTAATGACCTAGGTGGTTGAAATAGGAACAAAGTTTTAGGTTTGCCTACGTACGCGGTATTGGCTTGCCCTGCGTAAAACACCAGTTTTTGCAGCTGTGCGTATAGTATTCCCCCATAGAAGCCCCTTGGCTTTAGCTCTTTTGGCATTTCATCTTTGGCGGGGCTCCTAAGCATTTAAAATACTATGTTTCACACAAACGATTTTACAAATGAATTTGTTTAAGAACGAAAAGTTTGAGGTTATAAATTGGATGATGTCTTCGCCCCTCTTGTTGGTGATTAGCCTGAGAAGAGAATACCGAGTGTCTAGATATACATAAGGCTCAGTGAACAATGCTGCACGCAGTATGCAGGCAGATGCAAGGAAATCCTTCCACACTCTCCTCTGCCTTCCTCTTCGTCCCCCCCCCCCACAGCCTCTACCTTGGGTGCAGCAGCAATGAAGACTCTCAGAAGATCCACAAGATAGCTCACCACCGACCAAATCTTGGCGACCGGCTTCACCCCATTCAACTACTCTCCACCACGTGCTCTTGACCAGCAGCACCTGCTGCTGCTCCCCCTGCTGCTCCTGCCGTCCCTCCTCCTTCCCCTCCTGCAGCTTCTCCTGCCCCGCCCCCCCCCTCCTTCTCCTTCCATCCTCTCTCCACCACGAATCCCCTCTCATCCATTCGCCCTCTCTCCCTCATCCCTCTCTCCCTCAGTGCTCACCGGCAGGGTGAGAGGGTACCTTCCACTAGCGTTCCGTTCCGTGAGGCATATTTCAGCGAGCACCAGCAGCGTTTTGAGGCGCCTCACCAGCAGGGTGAGAGGGTACCGTCCACTAGCATTGTACTCCTCCATCTCCGCTGCTGCTCGCTGGAAACCCGGGTGACTTTTGAGTCGACTCAAAAGTCTCCTCTGCCTCATCCCCCTCGGTGCTCATGAGCAGGGTGATAGGGTACCCGACCCGTCCACTAGCATAGTAGTCCTTAATATCCGCTGCTGCTCCTACTGCTCCTGCCCCCTCTCCTCCTCCTCCCATACCTTCTCCTCCGTGCCCTTCGGCTCCACTGCTCCCCTCCTCTCCCTCATCCCCCTCGGTGCTCACGAGCAGAGTGACAGACAGGGCACCTTCCTCTAGCATTGTACTCCTCAATCTCCGCTGCAGCTCGCTTGAAATCCTCCACTCCCGCCCATGGAAGATCCGCGTCGGTTCCCTTCATACCTTGGCCACTAGCTGGCCTGCACTTCTTTTGAGGCGCCTCAAAACCTCGCCTCAATCTATGAGGCGCCCATGGAAGATCCGCCTCGGTCCCCTTCATAACCCTGCCCACTAGCTGGTCTGCACCGAGGACACACGCTGTTGTCACGAAGAAGCAAGGGGGAACAGAAGAAAAGGGGGTGGGGGGGGCAGAAGGGGAAGCGGGGACAGAAGGGTTCAGAAGGGCCACTAGCTGGTCTGCACCGTTGACACACGCTGTTATCGAGAAGGGAATCGAGGTGGGTGGGGACAGAAAGGGGAGCGAGAGGAGGGAAGGAGCGGTTCTGTGCTTGAATAGCGGGTCTCCATCTGTGTTGCTGAACACATGCTGTTGCTGAACACATGCTGTTGTTGAACATATGCTGATGCTGAACACATGCTGTTGCTGAACACATGCTGTTGCTGAACACATGCTGTTGCTGAACACATGCTGTTGCTGAACACATGCTGTTGCTGAACACATGCTGTTGCTGAACACATGCTGTTGCTGAACACATGCTGTTGCTGAACACATGCTGTTGCTGAACACATGCTGTTGCTGAACACATGCTGTTGCTGAACACATGCTGTTGCTGAACACATGCTGTTGCTGAACACATGCTGTTGCTGAACACATGCTGTTGCTGAACACATGCTGTTGCTGAACACATGCTGTTGCTGAACACATGCTGTTGCTGAACACATGCTGTTGCTGAGCACATGCTGTTGCTGAGCACATGCTGTTGCTGAATATCCACTGCAGAGGCAAGAGAGGAGAGAGCAGGAGAGGGGAGAGCAGGGGAGGGGAGAGCAGGGGAGCACATCCCCCCTTTCCCCTCATCCCCCCTTTCCCCTCACCCCCCCTTTCCCCTCATCCCCCCTTTCTCCCCATCCCCCCTTTCCCCTCACCCCCCTTTTCCCCTCACCCCCCCTTTCCGCTCACCCCCCCTTTCCCATCACCCCACCTCTCCCCTCATCCCCCCTTTCCCCTCATCCCCCCTTTCCCCTCATCCCCCCTTTCTCCTCAACCCCCCTTTCCCCTCACCCCACCTCTCCCCTCATCCCCCCTTTCCCCTCATCCCCCCTTTCCCCTCATCCCCCCTTTCCCCTCACCCCACCTCTCCCCTCATCCCCCCTTTCCCCCCTTTCCCCTCATCACCCCTTTCCCCTCATCCCCCCTTTCCCTTCATCCCCTCTTTCCCCTCATCCCCCTTTACCCCCCCCCCTTCCCCCTCACCTCCAGCTCGTAAACGCTCCTCTGATCCCCTAGGCGATCACCCTGCAGCTTCTCCTTTTCTTCCCGTACGAGCGCATGTGCCTTCGCCAGCGCTGTAACAGGCACAGGCGGGGCAAGGGGGGAATGCAGCAGAGGCAGAGCAAGGGGGGAATGCAGCAGAGGCAGAGCAAGGGGGGAATGCAGCAGAGGCAGAGCAAGGGGGGAATGCAGCAGAGGCAGAGCAAGGGGGGAATGCAGCAGAGGCAGAGCAAGGGGGGAATGCAGCAGAGGCAGAGCAAGGGGGGAATGCAGCAGAGGCAGAGCAAGGGGGGAATGCAGCAGAGGCAGAGCAAGGGGGGAATGCAGCAGAGGCAGAGCAAGGGGGGAATGCAGCAGAGGCAGAGCAAGGGGGGAATGCAGCAGAGGCAGAGCAAGGGGGGAATGCAGCAGAGGCAGAGCAAGGGGGGAATGCAGCAGAGGCAGAGCAAGGGGGGAATGCAGCAGAGGCAGAGCAAGGGGGGAATGCAGCAGAGGCAGAGCAAGGGGGGAATGCAGCAGAGGCAGAGCAAGGGGGGAATGCAGCAGAGGCAGAGCAAGGGGGGAATGCAGCAGAGGCAGAGCAAGGGGGGAATGCAGCAGAGGCAGAGCAAGGGGGGAATGCAGCAGAGGCAGAGCAAGGGGGGAATGCAGCAGAGGCAGAGCAAGGGGGGAATGCAGCAGAGGCAGAGCAAGGGGGGAATGCAGCAGAGGCAGAGCAAGGGGGGAATGCAGCAGAGGCAGAGCAAGGGGGGAATGCAGCAGAGGCAGAGCAAGGGGGGAATGCAGCAGAGGCAGAGCAAGGGGGGAATGCAGCAGAGGCAGAGCAAGGGGGGAATGCAGCAGAGGCAGAGCAAGGGGGGAATGCAGCAGAGGCAGAGCAAGGGGGGAATGCGAGCATCACCAACCAACCCTCACACCCTCTCCCATGCGAGCATCACCAACCAACCCTCACACCCTCCCCCATGCGAGCATCACCAACCAACCCTCACACCCTCCCCCATGCGAGCATCACCAACCAACCCTCACACCCTCCCCCATGCGAGCATCACCAACCAACCCTCACACCCTCCCCCATGCGAGCATCACCAACCAACCCTCACACCCTCTCCCATGCGAGCATCCCCAACCAACCCTCACACCCTCTCTCATGCGAGCACCACCAACCCTCACACCCTCTCTCATGCGAGCACCACCAACCCTCACACCCTCTCTCATGCGAGCACCACCAACCCTCACACCCTCTACCATGCGAGCATCCCCAACCCAGAGCCTCCTCGTGTGACGAGCCTGTATTTGACTCAACTCAAAAACAGACGCATCACTAACCCTCACTCACACCCCCTCACATGCCGGCATCATCATAGCCTCTTCTCATGCTCCTCCCCTCGTCCACGCCTGCATCACCAACCCCCACTCCCTCTCCCTACCTTGCTGGTTACTTAGCTCGTCTGTACCCCTGAACACCTTTATCCACTCCTCCATATCGCTTAGCCACCGCTCTGTATCCTGCAGATACTCCACCCGGCGCTGCCCCCGCATTGGCCTCTCCTTCCGCTCCTGCTGCTACTCCACCGCATCCGGTACATTAAATCTCTGATGAGAAGAAAAATGGAGAGGTGCGGAGAGGAGAGGTGCAGAGAGGAGAGGTGAGGTGACTTTTGAGTTGACTCAAAAGTCTTCTCCTCCCGCTCCTGCTGCTGCTCCACCGCTTCCGGTGCATTAAATCTCTGATGAGAAGAAGAATGGAGAGGTGCGAAGAGGAGAGGTGCGGAGAGGAGAGGTGCCGAGAGGAGAGGTGCCGAGAGGAGACATGAGAGGAGAGAAGAGGGGGAGAAGAGGGGAGAGAGGAGAAGAGAGAGGAGAGGAGAGGAGTGGCGAGGAGAGAGGAGGAGAGAGGAGAGGGGAGGAGAGGAGAGGAAAGGACAGGAGAGAACAAAAGAGGAGAGGAGTGACAAAGAGACAAACTCATTGCAACTCCTCTTCCACCCTCAACACCTGTTCCCACGAGCACACCATTCCGACTGTTCCCACTAGCACACCATTCGGACTGTTTCCAATATTCGCTTTCCCTTCCCCCAACCTCTCAACAACTCCCTTCCCCCACCCTCTCAACGACTCCGTTCCACCACCAACCGTAGGCCACTCACCACTCGTCTCTGACGCTTCTTCTGCTGTGGCTTCCCCTGCTGCTGCTGCTGCTGCTGCCGCCGCCGCCGCCATCGCATCCTGGCAAAGGTGCCAAGGCTCATCTGCCTTGTCAGATCCTCCGGTCTTTGTATTGTCTACCATAACGGAAATGATTATAAAGGGACAAACACGGTGCACAAAGCAGGAGTAGCGTGTCAGAGGGATCGAGCCAGACAAAGGTGACAAGGGGCTAACATGGGAGACAAGGGCCTAACATGGGAGACAAGGGCATAACATGGGAGACAAGGGCATAACATGGGAGACAAGGGCATAACATGGGAGACAAGGGCCTAACATGGGAGACAAGGGCCTAACATGGGAGACAAGGGCCTAACATGGGAGACAAGGGCCTAACATGGGAGACAAGGGCCTAATATGGGAGACAAGGGCCTAACATGGGAGACAAGGGCCTAACATGGGAGACAAGGGCCTAACATGGGAGACAAGGGCCTAACATGGGAGACAAGGGCATAACATGGGAGACAAGGGCCTAACATGGGAGACAAGGGCCTAACATGGGAGACAAGGGCCTAACATGGGTGACAAGGGGCTAACATGGTGCCATTCAGTAGTGCATGGGTACTACTGTCATAGGTGACAATAACGCTAAAATAAAGACTACTGTAGATGCTCCTCCCCACCTCATTGGCCTCCTCTCACACCACCTCTCTCCTCTCACCAATCGCCTCCTCTCACCAATCTCCTCCTCTCACCATCCCCCTCCTCTCACCACCCCCCTCCTCGCACCACCTCTCTCCTCTCTCCTGCCTTCTCCCTCCGCTCTTCCCTCACTCCCCATCTCCCCTCAATCTCTCACTCCTCCCCTCCAGCTGATGTTGCAGCCCCTCTACCTCTCCGTCCACACACCACACCTCTCGCTCCTCTGCTCCACTTTAGCACACCGCACCTCTCGCTCCTAACACACCACACCTCTCGCTCCTCTGCTCCACTTTAGCACACCGCACCTCTTGCTCCTAACACACCACACCTCTCGCTCCTCTGCTCCACTCTACCTCTCCTTCCACACACCACACCTCTGCCTTTGCCTCTCGCATGCGATCGCACATCTGCCTCTCTCCTCAACCCTCAACCCCCCTTTCCCCCTCATCTCCCCCTCAACCATCAACCCCCCTCACCCCGAATGTGAGGTCCCCCCTTACCAGTGCCGAACTCAACAACCCTCAACCCACCTCACCCCTCGCTCACCTCCCCCTCGCCCCTCCCCTCCCCTCAACCTCCCACTCCTCACCTCCTGCTCGTGAACGCTCCACTCCTGCTGCATGCCACCCCTCGTCAACGAAAAGTCTGCAGGGAGTGATTTTAACAAAATTCTCAAAAGTGATTTCAATACGCTCCGCTCCTGCTGCATGCCACCCCTCTTCAATAAAAAGTGTCCGAGCTGGAAGAAAATATTCGTGAACGCTCCTCTCCTGCTGCATGCCACCCGCCTTCAACAAAAAGTCTGCAGGGAGTTTTTGAGAATTCTCAAAAAGCAGAGGCGGGGCAAGGGAGGAAAGGTCTCGGAGCTGGAAGAAGATATTCGCGAATGCCTCCTTCACTGTCTCCCTCACGGTCTCCTCCCACTTCTCCACCTCCGCATGTACTGCAGCAGCCAAAGGAAAGAAGCAGAGGCGGGGCAAGGGAGGAAAGAAGCAGAGGCGGGGCAACGGAGGAAAGCAGCAGAGGCGGGGCATGAGCATGGGTCATATGATCATATGCATATGTGCATGAGCATCGGTCATATGATCATAGACAACCCCCAAAGGCCCTCGCTTGCGCATCTCGCTCGCTCAAGGGAGGGCCCTTCACAGCCCAGCTGTCCAGGATTTCTTTCACCTTCTCCTGCCACTTCCGCTCCTGTTCCAGGAATTCTTTCCTCTTCTCCCACGCCTTCCGCTCCTCTTCCAGGATTTTTTCCATCTTCTCATTAAAATTCTTTACACGATCCGACAGGCGCTGCTCCTCCTCCCGCTCCTGTCGCTCCTTCTCCTCTCGCTCATGTCGCTCCTTCTCCTCTCGCTCCTGCCGCTCCTTCTCCTCTCGCTCCTGCCGCTCCTTCTCCTCTCGCTCCTACCGCTCCTTCTCCTCTCGCTCCTACCGCTCCTTCTCCTCTCGCTCCTGCCCCTCCTTCTCCTCCCACTCCTGCCGCTCCTTCACCTCTTGCTCCTGCCGCTCCTTTTCCCCCTTATCCCCCCCCGCCTTCACCCGCTTACCCCCCCGCTCCTGCTTCTGCTCCTGGGGAGGAAAGGCCGCCTTTTCCCCCGCCTTCACCCGCTTTTTCCCCCCCGCTGGCACCAGCTTCATCGCTTCCTGTTTGGTCGCTTCTGGAACCTGAGGAGACGAGTGGGGCGAAGAGGGGAGGACCGGGGAAGAGAGGGGAGGAGAGGGGGGAGAGGGCAGAGAGGGCAGAGAGTGGAGAGAGGGCAGAGAGGGGAGAGAGGGCAGAGAAGGGAGAGAGGGCAGAGAGGGGAGAGAGGGCAGAGAGGGGAGGAGAGGGGAAGGGAGGGACAGCGTGAATTATACAGAGGCATTTTTTTTAGGCGCCTCGAAAATCAACTCACAGCGTGAGTTTGTACAGAGGCACCCTGCACGCGCTTCTCTTTTGAGTCGACTCAAAAGCTGACTTTTGCACAGGGGCATCCTGCACGCGCTTTTCCTCCCGCTACCGCTTCTGACTCGGAATAATAGTTGAGCCGACTCAAAACAGTCACGCTGGTACTGGAGAGGAGAGGAGAGGAGAGGAGAGGAGAGGAGAAGAGAGGGGAGGAGAGGGGAGGAGAGGAGAGGAGAGGAGAGGAGAGGAGAAGAGAGGGGAGGAGAGAGGAGGAGAGGATAGGAGAGGACAGGAGAGGAGAGGAGAGGAGAGGAGAGGAGAGGAGAGGAGAGGGGAAGGTAGGAGAGGAGAGGGGAAGAGATGAGAGGGGGAAAGGGAGGAGAGGCGGGGGAAAGGGAGGAGAGGAGACGAAACTTAGCACCGTATATAAACTGTAAGCGCACGCTTAAATCAATCTCTTACCTCGACAACTGCTGGTGACAGAAGAGGTCGGGCAGCGCTTATTGTCCCAACAGGCTCCCCCTCCCCTGGCTCTAGATCCGGCTGCGACAGCCGATCCAACAGCAGTTTGTGCTGATGACTCTCCTTGGCCCCTTCCCTCGTGCCATTGGGATCTGCGGAAGAACACCCGGCTTTGGTGTGTTCTTATGCGTGTGCCTTGATCTCGTCAATGCTGTACCTCTGGTACGTGGGCTCCGGACAGAAAGGACAACAGAAGGATCCGCCGCGGTTGAGAACGGTGGAGGGGTTTTTCCGCCGGTTCTCGTCTCTGGCGAGGTCGTTCTCGTCGTACGGGCGCGCTGGACTTGTTGTGGGAGATTGACAGTCGCCGTCATCGTCACCATTGTCATTTGACATTGACATAACATCTCCAAAATTGGGACGACCCAAGGCTCACCACCCGAATTTGGGATCCTCGAGGTGACTTACAAGTTACCTGAACCTCACCCCGAAGTGAGTGTCAGGTCAAATGCATCCTCCCGAGACCCGCAAGTAACCATCGGGTCTTCGATTTCGCGCGAAAAAACGCCCTTGACCCGAAAGTGACCCCAACCTGACCAACGAGATGAACCCGAACCGCCATCGCAAAAAACATTGACCAATAGAATTTCGTGAATGGGTCGGGTCGCAACGAGAGCTGACATTGGCCGATCGCACGTCAAAATGGCCCGAGTCGCACCGAAATGAGACATTGCCGAATCGCATGCTTTCGGAAAAAAATGTCTCAAATAGATAAAATAACCCTAACCAGTAAACAGTTTGGTAACACTCATATTGGAAATAAAAAACAAATATAAAAAGGCCTCAAATGGTTTTTTATTTCCTTAAAAGGGTAAATTTCCTATTAAGAGAATGATTACCAGTGTATTGAAATAATAACCAGGAAACTTACTAAGATGAATTATTAACCAGATATATGGGTTGCAAAAAACGCAGTTGAATTCGATGTACTCTTTAGAGCTGTGAGGTGGTGGCGGTAGCTGCCGTCCCTAGAACTGTTGGTTGGGGTCCTTGTAGGGTTTCAGTAGCTAAACATGGAAAGCGTTGTGAAGCTTCCACGTAGTAGGTAAGCGCAAGCAGAATGTTATTGGTGTCACATGTGCCTCAACGCGAAAAGGACCACAGAAGCGAGGCTGAAGCTTGGAAGGTAGGTGAGACAGGTTCAAGTTGCGCGTGTCAAGAAGCACCTGATCTCCGACTGCTACTGAATGGTCAGGTCGCTGGCTATCGGCATACTGCTTCTGGGAGGTCTGCATCGTGGTGAGACGTCGCTGAGTCTTCTCCCATAGCTGCTGCATGGTGGTGACGAAGTCATGTGCGGCTTGGACGTGTGCCGGTGTGATTGGCTGCTGTGGTGTAAGTGGTTCCCGTCCGTAGCACAGGAAGAAAAGAGTTTTCCCTGTGGCCGCATGTGACGTGTTGTTGTAAACGAACTCTAGGGTCGGTAACTGTGTGTCCCAGTGGCTGATGTCGTCTTTGCAAGCTGTGCGCAGTAACTGTTGAACCACTTGATTGAGTCACTCTGTCTGTCCGTCAGTCTGGGGGTGATATGCTGAAGACATCGCAAGCTTTGTCCCCAACAGTCCCATGAGCTCCTTCCAGAACTTACTAGTGAATTTGGGGTCTCTGTCTGAGATGAGTGTAGCGGGGATGCCGTGGATGGTGATGATGCGGTCGAAGAAGAGTCGAGCAGTTGCTTCAGCTGTAGCTGTGGCGTTGGTCGGTATGAAGAGACCCATTGTGGAGAACTTATCGATTACTACGAGGATGGAATCATGTCCCCGTGAGGTCGAAGGAAGTCTCGTGATGAAGTCGAGGCTAACGACCTGCCATGACTGCTCCAGTACTGGTAGAGGCTGAAGTAACCCTGCTTTTTTCTGCTTGCTGCTCTTCATCCGCTGGCACGTATCGCATGAGGTGACGAACTGCTAAACATCTACTACCATCCCGGGCCAGTAGTAAAACTTCGCTATCCCTGCTAGCGTCTTGTTGCTCCCGAAATGTCCCGCGTACTGTACGTCGTGAAACTCCTCCAGCATAATCTGTCGAAGCGGGGCATAGTTCGGTACCCAAATCTTTCCTGTGCCCTTCCTTACAGCCAAGATTTTCTCCCACTGTAACAGCTTCTTAGTCTGTGCTGTAGCGATCTCTGCGTCCACGAAGTACCCATGTTGGAATAGACCCTTGAGAAGAGGGTTCATCCCGTCGAGCTGGATACCTGCTACATGTCCGGGGCGGCTCAACGCATCTGCCTTGTTGTGTAGCCCGGGCTTGTAGACGATGTCGTAGTGGAAGTGAGTTTCCAGGAAGTCCACCCACTGCACCTGTCGTCGTGAAAGTGTCGGCTGCGACTTCAGGTATTTGAGGCTGCAGTGGTCAGTATAGACTGTATTCTTGGCTCCCTCTAGGTAACACCTCCATGCCTTGAAGGCTACGACTATGGCTAGGGCTTCCTTGTCGTGTATGGGGTAGTTCAGTTCTGCTCCGTGTAGTTTTATACTGAGGTAGGCGATAGGCTGTAAGTCGTTCCTGTGATCCTGCATCAGTACTGCTCCGACTGCCTGGTCACTAGCGTCTGCTTCTACTACGTAGTCCTTGTCTGGATCTGGGAGGATGAGAACTGGCGCTGTGGTCGATGATGTCTGTAGCTGTTCCATGGCTTGCTGATGAGGAGTATCCCATTTGAAGGGCGTATCCTTTTTCAGTAGGTCGGTCAGTGGCGCTGCTATCTTAGCGTACTGTGGCACGAACCTGTTGTAGTAGTTGGCGAAGCCTAGGAACTGTTGCAACTCCTTCACGTTCTCCGGTACCTTCCACTTTTTTACGGCTTCGATCTTCCGCGGGTCCACGTATACGCCCTCGGCACTCACCATGTGCCCGAGAAACTGCACCTTCTTCAGGGCGAAGTCGCTCTTCGACAGCTTCACGTAGAATTTGTTTTTTTCGCAGGATCTCGAACACCTTCCGCAGATGCTCCACGTGCTCCTTCATGTTCTTGGAGTAGATGAGAATGTCGTCCAGGTACACCACCACGCACTCGTCCAGCAGGGGCCGTAGGATGTGGTTCATCTACGCCTGAAACGTTGTTGGTGCGTTGCAGAGTCCGAACGGCATCACTAAGTATTCGTAGGAGCCGTATCTGGTACGGAACGCCGTCTTGTGTATCTAGTTGTCCGCCATCTTGATCTGCCAGTAACCCGACCGTAGGTCCAGCTTCGAAAAGACTGTTGCACCACGCAGTTGATCCAATAGGTCGTCTATGCACGGTATGGGGTATTTGTTTTTAACTGTCTGTTTGTTCAGTGCGCGGTAGTCGATGCACATCCGTAAACTGCCGTCTGGTTTGGAGTGAAGAGAACAGGTGCACCGTAGGGAGAGGTGGATGGGCGGATCAGTTGTCGGTCCAGTAGATACTCTATCTGTTTCTTCATGTCTGTCAGTTCGGTCGGACTCAGTCGGTATGGTGCTCGTGAGATGGGTTTTGCACCTGGTTCCTCCACGATCTCGTGCTCGTGGGTGCGTGCTGGAGGTACGCCTGCGGGTAGGTTGTCGGGCATAATATCTTTGTACTGCTCCAAGACCTCCTTCACTGCTGCAGGTAGCTCTGTGTTTAACTTCTCCTCCTCTGCTGCTGCCATAACCAGTGCTAAGTAACCCGTGTTACTCTCGTTCACCGCCGTTCGAACCGTGCCAGTGTCGTTTCAGGAACGCTCCCTGTATCCGTCCAGCTTCTCAGCTCCACTCTTTTCCCGTTGCTGTAGATGCACACCTTCCTGTTGACCCAGTCGATCTCGGGGTTGAACCGCTTCAAGAAATCTCGCCCCAAGATGAAATCTAAACCCGTGATGTTCGGGATCGGCAACGTCGGCTTCCACCTCAGCGCCCCTATGTGCAGCTGCAGTGATGCTTTGCCGTGGATGGGAAGTTTCGTACCGTCCACCATTGTTGCCGTGAACTTGGTCTCCTCCGAAGGTTCTCCAATTTTCTCCAACGTCCCGCGGTCGCACACCGAGTGAGATGCACCACTGTCCACCATTGCCTGGAGGCATCACCCGTTGCAGATCACCTCGAGTAGTAGTGGTTGTTGCTGCTGCTCCGAGTAACCGTAGATGGTCTCGCTTATAGGATCGTAGGGTACGTCGAATAGATCATCCCTCGGTCCTGCGCTCGAAGCTGCTGAATCCATATAAGTTTTCAACTGAGTAGGGATATAAGGATTTATTCGAGGCCGATTCAGCTTCGTCTTGGCCTGGAACCTTCCCCTAAGCCTTTGCAGCTGTGTAGGCTTCACCTGTGGGCAATGGGGAGCCTTAACACTGTGCTGCGGGGAGAGAATGTTAACTCCTCGGAACGCACGACCTTTTTCAACGCTCCGGAGTGGTTTGCCCAACTTCTCAGGTACCTGAATAATGTCCAAAGGCTTTTTCTTGGCCTTGAAATCTCCTCTGAATTTTTCAAAGGCTTGAAAACCTCGAGAGGAAATATTCTTACTCTCGGGGGTGTTCGGCTGGAGTTTCCCGGTCGGTGCAGAGTCTTGTTTCGCGGAGCCTCCATTTGTCTCGGCGATTTCCCCTGTTGCCGGCCGGTCGCGGAGCCTCCATCATGTCCTCCTTTTTTCGCCCGCTCCGAAGTCGCCATGTCTTTTGACTTCGGGGGTGCTGCAATGTCGTTGCCCTGCAGCTCCTCTCGTACCTTCTTCAGTTTCCAACATGCCAAGAATCGATGTCCTGCTGCGCCGCAAAATTCGCAGTTCTCATATTTTGTCGGCCGCTACTTCGGGTTGATCTTGTCGATATCCATCGGGTCGGCGGTCGTGGGTGGTGCCGATCGCTTCGTGCCAAATGATCGGTTCGGCACGTGGCGTCGTGTCTCGGGTTCACATCGCATCAGCGCATCGAATCTCTCTGCTGCACACACCATGTTGCGGTAGTTGTTGTAGTTTGCGGCAATCACCTGTCGGCGGACTTCCATTTTTAGCCCCTCAGAATACGCTTGGATTTTTCCCCCTTCAGTCAGGTTGGTAATTCGGTTGAAGAGGCTCTCCATCTGCTGCGTGTACTATGTTACACTGCCGAACTGTTTATGCCGATGAATCTGCTGCCGCGCCATGTAGCTGGAGTTGATGGGTTCGAAACCTTGAATTAAAGCTTCCCGAAACTGCGTCCATGACCCCTTGCCTCTGACCTCGTTGCTATTGTAAATCCCCTCGAGCGCCGGGCCTCGTAACAGTGTCGCTGCGAGCCGAATCCGCATTGCATCGTGTGTCGGGGTCGTACAGCCAACGGCCTCGAAGTAAATTTCGAGGGTCGCATCGCAATGAATCGACGAACGTCGGTGTCTCTCGCATTCGGATTGAACGTCTCCGGTTGCCTCGGACGTGCCGCCTCAAGATTCACTGTAGCCACTGCCGCTACTGCTGGGTGAAGTGTCGGTGTCGCCACTGCTGCTGCTGCCGTCGCTGCTGAATTCGTTGCTGTGTTCGCTGTTGCTATGGCGGCTG